GCTGCCCTCTGCTGAAAAACAAGGCCTGAGAGAGATGGCGAGCAGGTGTGCTAAGGCACCAGGGGGGGGTCCTTTCCGGCCTCCCCAGGCCCGCTCGAGCCACCCAAAGCCAGCGAGTCAAGGACAGCACCATTAAAGAGGGCGGCAGGGGGCGCCTCCTGCTGGCACAGGTAGAAGACGCTCCTCCCCAGTACACATCGGTCACCAGAGGTCCTTAGCGCCGAAACGCTCACCACGGTACTGAGAAATGGCACCATGAGGGCTCACAACCATCGATTTCCGTCGGTCTCCAAGGGAACTGCGTCTCGCTGATACAAGCAGAACCACCACCAGCGGCTGATGCAGACAGACGGCTGTGTACGGCGCCGCCGAAAGCTGTTACACAGCAGTACTGACAAGCTGCTGCGCTGAGTATTTTAAACCCTGCATGAGCTGCTATGTGGTGGGTGCAGAAAAAGACCTCGGAAAGATGTACTTTATTCAGAGCTCCTGCCTCTCACGCAGAACGCTGGTGCGGTCAAATGAACGGTGCCGAACCCGATGGGCTGATGTGTGGCCCAGTGGGTTAGGATGCTTGTGTTCAGAAGGTTGTTGGCTCAAATCCCAGAGTTGAGGTACTGATTTTTGCCATTGGGGACTTGAGCAAGGCCCTTAACCACCATGTACGTCCCTTTGACAGACAGGCCTCAACCCCACGCTGTTCTGGACAGATCTCCACTCCCCCTCCCCAAGCAAGGGTTAAAACAGTCACTCGTACTCCAGCTCCAGCAGAATAACCATATATGAGCAATTCCGGCAGGGGACTCGTGTTGTTAATCCAAAGTTCACTCCTTGAGCCGCTGAGTGGCGGAAGTCGTTGCGTGTGTGAGGGGCATGGGGTGCGCGCTGCTTGTTTGTGAGTGTGTGCGTGCATGTGTCCGTGTTTTATTTGTTTGGATGGGGCCGGATCAATGGTTGTAAGGAAATCAAAAACACAAAACACAGGCGAGAGACCCATTATTGGTCTGGGGGACTTCCAGGCATTGTACACATGACGGAACGAGGGGGAGGGTGTGGGGGACACTTCCTCTGGCTGGCAGGCAAGCCCCCCCCATCAATCCCCCCCCCCCCCTGCTCCGGGCAAGCCGTCCAATGAGCGGAAGCCATTCAGCCTCAGTGAATACAGCGCGGAGGCCGCCGTGTCAAATGAGGCTGATCTCGTAACGATTTAAACATGTTTAGGAGGGGGGGCACCGGTGGAGGGGGGGGCAGTGCAGAGCACTTTTGACCTTATTTGTAGGTGACTTAACCCTAAAAGGCTTCCTGTTGTCGGCAGGCCGCTCTCACAGCTGGAGCGGCCCCCTTCCTGATTTGTGGAAATCCCCAGGTCAGGCGCGTAAACAGCTAGGGGGGTGGGGGGGGGGGGTCGCGTTCAAAAAGCACAGCCAGCTTCCTGGCCGACGTTCCGGCCTCAGTCCATTTACAGGCCAGTACGTCTTACTGGGACCACTGACGATCGGCGCAAATTGAACAGTCTATGCAGAAAACGGCGCCGTAATGGCGACTCGGCCTTTAATCTCTGAAGCGCTGCGGAAGCTACGGAGAAGCAGCAGCTGACGCTGGAGGGAGTCTCGCCGCGTGACGCGCACACACACACACGCACACGCACGCGACCGCGGGTGCGAGCGCAGCGTGGCTTTTCCGACGGCATCGCCCCTGTTTAGAAACGCGCCCTATTTTCGGCGCAGGGGTCAAAGCCAGCCACGTGCGGACGCTTGATGTTTGTCGGCGCGAGGAGGCAGCCTGGAAGGGATGTCGTGCAAGTCGGACCTTTACAGACACACATCAAAACAAGCAGGTACTCTGATCCACCCCCACCCCCCTACAGCCGGCACAAACACACGAGGAAACGCCGCGTTTTGTACATATAAGGAGCGGCAGGGATGCTGGTGCATCCCGTGTGGGGAGAGAGAGAGGGAGAGAGGGAGAGAGCTCTCAGAAAGCGGAGGAAAGGGTAGGGGGGGGGGGAAAACAAAAGTGAGAAGTAGGGAGAGCACTTCCTTAGAGACGGCGTCCGGGCTGCGGTGTTTGTGTGAGAGACAAGAGACAGCTCCCCAACCCCCCCCCCATGTTGAGGGGGGGCACTTCCACCCCAGGTGTCCCACAGGAGAAGAAGAAATAGAATGAGTGTCCAGTCCCGGGGGGGGGGGGATTGTCAAACCAGCAGAGGTGACAGGGCAGAGAAGGGATGAGCTCTCTCTCCCAAAGCAGGCCGGGGTATCACCTCACCTCAGCAGGAGGACTGATACACGGGCAGAACGTGATGAGAAGAGGCGGAGCAAAGCCCAGGAAGGAGACGCTCGCCATTATTCAGCCACATCAGCGTCGCTTTAACACCACCAGTGAAGCCTCCGTAGAGCAACACCTGACTGTGGATGCCCTTGAGGACAGGGACACAACACCCCAGTGCATGCTGGGAACGGCGTGCCATCATACATGATGCTGAACTGTCCACAAACTCATACATACTGTATCCTGTGTCCTAGTAAGTAAATTCAAATCTCAAATTAAAAACTAAATGTAGGAAATACCCCCAGTCTCAGTAGTTACATAAACATGCCAAATGCTGGGTCATATCTGAAATCGGTGAATATGACAAATCATGGGTCCATGCCATGTATTCATGACCACTGATAGAAAAAAAAAAAACGACGAACGAGTGGATGTGTTTCAGTGGGCCTGGATGCCGTGCCTTTCATCGGAAGGATGGTGGTTCAGATCTCAGGGTGGGTGGAATGAGTTCACCATCAGGCCCTGGAGCAGATTAACCCCCCCTATTGTCTCAGCGTCTGGCTGAACCTGCAGTCACCAAAATGTGTGTTGCTTTGTCTGCTAAATAAATGTGAAAATAAGCCTAGAATCTTCCAGGAAGACCTGGCAGTATGTTTCATTTCCCAGCTAGCAAACAGGTCATTATGTGCATAACACCTGCCGAGAAGTGCAGCTTTCAGGAACGCGTTTGCGGCCCTCCGCCTCCCAGTTACGTAACAGCTGGACATTTTCACTGGAGAAAATGCGATGGGGCCAAGCACGCAGCTGCGATGCCGGCACACGGCAAGAGGAACGACAGATGCAGGAAGTGGGGGGGGGAACTACCCAACAATCCCTCTCATTTCCATTTCTCACCTGAGTGCCAAATGGCTCCGCTTCCAGATGGGAACAATGTGCATTGTGCACGGAGCGAGGGTGCCCCCCGTACTGCGGGGTGCAGTGGAAGCACACGGGACAGAGCGCATTTTAAATACGATACAATTAACACTATTGTATGAGAGGGCCGCCGTCGCATTTCTTAGGAAGCCAAAAGCTTCGTTCAGCTGTTCCCGGGTCACCTCTAGCGCTGAGACAGGATCACACACTTCCTGATTTCTACACGGATCCGCCGGGACGACAGTCGACAGTCCAATCTCCATCTCGGCAGGTAGCAGAGTGGAATGAGGGCAGCTCGATGTGCTTCGAGAAGCTTAACGGTTTCAGCAGAATGCTTAAGTGTGACAAAACAATCCGCAAGGGTTCTGGATAATATGATGCTGTGATACTCATTCAGCATCAGACAAAGGAAATTCGGAAATTCGGATACATTGCTGTTCCCTCCCTCCAGAATAAATGGCCTCCTCACTGATCTCAGACCAGCGCTATAAGGCTGTTGATGGATTGAGAAGGCTGCTTTTCATGATGCCTTTCCGGGCAGACAGTTTTGTTTAAAGTAATGTACACATGAGCAGATAGCCCATTACAAAGGAGTCAGCTAGGCATAAGTGCAGCTAAGCGGCCGTGTTTCCAATGAATACCTGGGTATGAGTGTAAGCAGTACTGTAGCAAGAGCTACACAACGTCTTCCAACAAAGCAAGACTCAAATAAGAGGTGACGTGTGGCATAGTGGGTTAGGCCTCGAATCCTGAGGCTTGCCGAGTGATGTCACCATTGGGCTCCTGAGCAAGTCCCTTAACCCCTAACCCTGCTTTCTCAATTGTATGTTGCTTCGGGGAGAAAAAAGTAACAGCCAAATAAACAAATGTAAATTTAGCCCCCTGTGTGCAAAACGAAGATGCAAGAGAAAGGAATTACGCCCTGTGCTCAAAGCTTCCTGTGACAGTTACTCGACAGAAGTCAAAGGTCCTTTATTTTAGACCAAGGTGACGTTCACTATGTGAGAGCTTCTTTGATGGTTGTCTTTGAAAGAGGCCCTTTCCATCTTCAGTTCCATCGCTCCCCCAAGGAGACAATGGACTGTCTATTTATAGCTCTGAAGTTTTTGTTTCTTTTTTTATATGTGTAACACAAGATAGTCATTCTTATGTGAATGTCTTTTATATCTTGTCGTTTTCAGAAATTAAAAAAAAATTCAAATCATTAGCTAGGTACTAATAAATAAGTAATTTTACCGTTTTCCTCGCTCAGATATTGCACTGTACCTTACTCGGTAAAAAAAGAATTCCAGATAAAAACAAGGTAAAATTTCATCATTGCTGCTTGCTTTTTGCTATATATTTATATACCGTTGTTATGACTTTCACTTCTTATTACGTTGATATTTAAATTTTTACTATCTTTATTATTTTATTCGCTTTCTCTCATTATTTCCTGAGCAATAATCGAGTGTAAAGCATCGCCAGTTAATAGCATCGCCGTTGGCCCAGAACACCGATTCTGGATCAGTAAATTCAGGCGCTACCCTCAGACCCGGCAGTTTTCTTTAAACACCGAAAACTGATCCAGGGTCAGCATCTGGAGGCAATATCCAGGATAGCTGGTCAACTATAAATTATTCCGGTGTTGCACATGTGAAGCTTTTGACCCTCGGGAATTCTGCATTTTATACGTGTAATAAAAGTAACATACATATTGCATTTTTAAAAAACAGTTTTAAAAGCTGATGTTAATGAATTTCTATAGTATTTTCTTTCTTAGGAACATAGATATATTTACGCGTATGTGGCATATCAACCACCACAGGAAACGAAACCGGTTGGCCGACACCCCAAACAAGAATAAGGAAAGTTGTTGTATTGAATTCATCGAGGAGCCAGGTGTGATCGCTATTTAAATTGTAATATTCAGATATATAATACACAAACTCATGTGTGTAGAAGGGAAGTTATGCTGAATATTATTACTGGCGATCTTCTTCAAGGTAAAGCTAGGTAGTTAGCCGGCTAGCTGAAGTGGTCCACTTTGTTGGAGTATACTGCTGAAACATATGAATGTTTTTCTTAAGTATTCTTATTTTCAAAGAATCCGCGCACGTGCCGCATCTTTATTCTTGATGGCGCGGTTCTGTATGGTTTAAACTGGGCGTCGTGGAGATCAGCTGTTTGCATTGCGGCTTCTCCCGGTGCTTTGTTGTTTAGCGCTGTTATATAGGAGTTTTGGGGGTTTTTGTTAAGCAGCATCCCCCCACGGGATATTCGGGTCACCGGCATGCCCCATTAAACGGGGGATCGGGACCAACGGTGTGGGGAACACATCCGGCCTGGGGATGTCGGTGACGGGCGACAGGCAGACCGGCGCGGCTCTGGTGGCCGATCTGTCGCTGTCCTTCCAGGACGAGCTCACGGCCACCATACAAAACGCCTTCGGGGTGGCACTGGAGATCGCCGTGCTGGAGGTCACCAAGCTGGTGGGCCAGGCGCTCCGCGATGTGCGCGACCAGATGCACGAAACCCTGCGGGAGAACGAATCCCTGAAGCAGCGGCTGCAGAGCGCCGAGGTGGAGCTGGGCGCCGTGCGCAAAGCAAACGCGGTCGGCAGAGCGCCGCCGCCGGGCCCCCAGGACGAGCCACAGCCCGGGAAGCAGCCGGCGGCGCCCGTAAGCGCGCCCGTGGATCCCTCTGACATCTTGCTGGAGGAGAAGTTCGACTTTCTCAGCGTTGAGGCGGACCCAGATCGGGACAGGTCTTTCTGTGAAATCCGTGAGGACGGACAGGTCTGCTCCCACGACCTGACCCCAAACACAGGTGGCCAGACAGCGTCCAGATGCCAGCCTGGAGGCGCAGCCGGTGTGTGATCGTGTGTAATGTCACCTCCGCGCCAGTTTCTCATGTTTAGAATCAAGTTGCGATTAAGCTGAATGTTTTAAATATTGAATGTTTTTCCACCTCTCTGTTTTCCAAGTTTCCAAGAGCAGCCAGACGCGGATGTACTCCGACACCCAGGTGGAGACAGTGCGCTTCGACCAGCCGTGCCCAGAAACTGTGCCGGGAGTGAGTAACACCGGGGCATTCCTCAAAGCAGCATCCCCACCAGACAGCAGCCTGCCAAACCCGAAGCTCGAACAGCCGATCAAGGTGAAGGAGGAGTCGCCAGAGGGAGGCTGCGCCCCCCCGGAGCTGGGCTGCGTCTCCGTGCCGGCTGCTTTCGCTGGGGTGGAGGATGACTTCTGCCCGGACAGCCTCTCCCTGGCTCAGTCACGCCTACTAGAGGACTGGAGGCCAGAACCGCTGCACCTACAGAACTGTGACACTGACACCCTCGCCGCATGCACCAGCCACTCCTTGTGTGAGTGTGGGAGGGGTGAGGTGTGGGCTAGGGGTGGGGTTAGGTGCCAATGGGCATGGTGTATGGGCTGGGGGCATGATATGTGGGTTATGATATGATATGATGGGTTATGTGTCAGTGGGCATGATATCTGTGTTAGGGGCGGGGTTATGTGTGGGTGGGCGTGGTATCTGTGCTGGGGGCGGGGTTATGTGTCGGTGAGCGTGGTATCTGTGCTGGGGGCGGGGTTATGTGTCTGGGCGTGGTATCTGGGCGCGGGGGCGGGGTTATGTGTCGGTGGGCGTGGTATCTGTGCTGGGGGCGGGGTTATGTGTCAGTGGGCGTGGTATCTGGGCGCGGGGGGAGGGGTTATGTGTCAGTGGGCGTGGTATCTGTGCTGGGGCGGGGTTATGTGTTGGTGAGCGTGGTATCTGTGCTGGGGGTGGGGTTATGTATCAGTGGGTGTGGTATCTGTGCTGGGGCGGGGTTATGTGTCAGTGGGCGTGATATCTGTGCTGGGGGCGGGGTTATGTGTCAGTGGGCGTGGTATGGGGACCTGGCCATTGAGAATAGTCTGGATCCTGTTGTACTCTGCAGCTCAGTTTCTAAACATATGCGTTTGGGCTGGGTGTTTCAGGAGTAGGGCGAGGGGACCTGGGTAAAAGGTTTACGGGTTCATCCAATTCAGGTTCATGCTGGGGGCAGGGTATGGTTGGGCAGGGGTGGGGCTGGGTGTGTCAGTAGGCGGGGCATGTGGACCTGGGTCTCGAGTTTCCAGGTGTTCCTGTCATCTTATGCTCTCTTTAATTTCCACCCAGCTGATTCTCCAGTTTTTGGTACTGACTTGTCCGACCTCGACCTCCATGCTCCGTCCTCCAGTGGGCTTCCCGCCTTCTCCAAAGCCTACCAGCATCCGGGCCCCGTTCCCCGTCCCCACTACAGCAGCCGGGTGAGCGGCCCAGATGTCACCCAGCCCAGCGTCACTCCCCCTGCCGGCGGGACCCACTCCTGCCGCGTTTGCGGAGAGTCGTTTCACCTGCAGGAGGAGCTGCGGCGGCACCGGAGCCAGCACCACAGTCAGAACCAGGTCCACGGGTCTAAATCCAGCCGGCACCCGAGACGGCAGGCCTTCCCTCCAGGCCGCAGCCCCTACCACTGCTCCCTGTGCGGCCGCGATTTCAACCGCATGGAGCACCTGAAGATCCACCAGCGCATTCACACGGGCGAGCGGCCATACGCCTGCACCGTGTGCAATGCTCGCTTCCGCCACTCGTGGGCACTCACGAGGCACTTCCGCATTCATACGGGAGAAAAGCCGTACGCCTGCAGTCTGTGTGGGAAGACCTTCCGGAACTGCGGGGGGCTCCGCTTCCACCAGCGTTCGCACTCCCTGGAGGGGAATGGCTGATGCCCTCTAGTGGCCAGGAGGACCTGGGACGAGGAGGGAGGTCGATGAAATGGAGGTTTACAGGGCAGCTGGGGCTCAAATCTGGGATCAAACGTGGAAAATAACTCAGAGCAGGGAAGTACGTACTATGTTATATTTAACTGTTTCCCACCCAGCTTGTTTACAGCACGCCAGAATGTGTACCCTTCTGGATACACATGGGGGGTAATCCATGAAGGAGGATTTCTTGCTTAGCCAGATAACTCCTTGGATTTAAGGTAGTCTGGGCTAAATGGACTTTATTTTCATTTCCTTTCATTTAGCCCAGACTACCTTAAATCCGAGAAGTTATCCGGATAAGCAAGAAATCCTGCTTTGTGGAACAGCCCCCTGGTGTGGATAATAGGGCAAAAACCATAGGTATGTCAATTCATTTATCAAAACCTATTACTTTATCAGTACTAATTATTATTATTTCATTGACCAGTGTTGGTTTATTTTATGTGAGGTACGACTTCACACTCGCAGGGCTGGAGGTTCAAATCATTCAGAATGTCCTCTCACTTTTTCATTGTATTTATCCAGGGTTTTAGTCCATTTTCCACCATCAGCCCAAAGTCTAAACTAGTGTTCCTGTATTGCCCATATTGTGTGTATGTGTGCACCCTGTGACTGGCTCCCCCTCCTGGATGTCCCATGCCAAGCACCTCTTGCTGGTTGGGATAGACTCCAGGCCCCTGAAACCCTGTACTGGATGGAAGGATCGATGATTTAAATAATGTCGAACATATATTGCAGGGCTCTTCAAATTTGTACCTCGATTCCAAATCCAGGCCGTGTTTTCAGTTCTCCCAGGATACTTAGTTTAATAATTACTGATTCTGATTGGTCACAGAGGCTTCACACCCGGCTCACAGGTAAAGGAAGGCTGGAAAACCAGCAGGGCTCAGACCTTGAGGACCGTGATCCGAATAGCCCTGATATATTGTGTTGAAAATGAGTGTTTTTTTTTTATTATTATTATTATTATTATTAACACTTTGTGTGTCTGCCTCGTTCTTAAGCTGGTAATTTGCCTTACTGGTGCTGTGTTTCTGCCAGTTGTGGTAAAATTGGTTTGGTTGTTCTAACTTATTTTCTTACATATGTACTGTAATAATTTTCCGCAACATTTGTACAGAATGTAATGATGTGAGTATGAAAACAATCAATAGATATATTGACGTTGGTGTCCAGGCCTTAACTGGACTCTAAATTTCGGAATTTGTTGGATTTTACTGGTGACCAAAGGGTTCATGTCCTCGAAGGAGAAGTATTATTTTTACCGGACATGGGAGATTGGAAAGCAGCTGATGGACGTGAAGCCAGCAACAGGGCAGACTTCCTGATGGAGGGACCGGGAACATCTGAGAGTATGAAGGGACTGGGCGCTAGCCACTTCAGCTTTGGAGCGGGTTCGAAGGCGGTACAATAGTATCTCCTGTCCACGCTTCGTGGGAGCATGGGGCTGGCTGAAGCTGTACCGGTTGCGTTTCTCAGTGCTCAGACGGTGGTGCAGGTTAAGCTGGGAGTTCTTCCTCCACAGATGCTTCGCTGGCAGTTTTCATATTTAATTGTGTCTTATTCTAACTCATGTTTGCTGTTTGTGTGCTTGGGGGGTGTGATGATTCGCAGTGTTACGGTGCCTCTTAGGTTTTCTGTACCCAATATCTGTACATGAATGAAAAGCTGTGGATTCAAGAAAAAAAAAGGATGGTATTTATGGAGTGTGTTTGTGTGCGTACGTGGGCTAATGCAGCCTGTGATGGTCCTGCGACCGCCCTCCACAGCGCCCCCTACCTGTGTTTTTTCTTCTGCAGGTTCATTGTGACCTAATACTGTAGTGTTTCCCAATAGGGTCCTCAGGGACCCGCAGACATCCACGTTTTTGCAAGGAGCTGGGAGGGAGCAGAGACATGGACCGCTGTGGGTCCCCCAGGACCAGATGGGGAAAAACTTAAGTATTAGATTAGTGATTATAAAAAATGGATGGAAGTTTGTGATTTAAGGCGCTTCCTGTATTTTCGCTACCTTACAATACAGACTGAAAGGTCCAGTGACTGAACTGTGCGTTTTTGTTCCTGTCTGTCTCGCCATTGGTCACCTTGTCGGGTGTAAGCTTGGAGCGCCGGAGCGGATCTCAGTCTCAGAGGACCACAGAGCCTTCAGAGAGCGTCTTAATTACAGCCAGCTTTCAGTCTGAAATCGCAGGTGGATGGTGGTGCTGTCTGGCGTGTCCCTGAAATGCAGCCACTGCATCGCTGTTGGGTGAAATCTGGACTCTCGGCAATTAATTGATAGTTTGTTTATTTAGAAATAAATCAAATAATGCTGAGTTCTGCCCTGAAGATTCCAGGTTTTGCCTATCAAATGAAACACAAGTACAGCACTGAGCTGAAGACTGGCTTTAGGTGGAATGAGGAAAACTCTGCAGCTGAAGACTGGCTTTAGGTGGAATGAGGAAAACTCTGCAGCTGAAGACTGGCTTTAGGTGGAATGAGGAAAACTCTGCAGCTGAAGACTGGTGCACCTGTACCCCAGGTGTGGTGCCCCCTGCTGACAAAACCTGGTTATGCACTTACAACCATTGAGATGGCTTGGAAGAGGAGACTTAACTTGTCGTATGACATGCAGTTGAATACACCGGTATTTGAGGTAATGGTGAACTCTCCGGTGTGCTCCCACGACCCAGAGACAGTTCAGGCGTCCTGTTTTGGCCGAAGTTGAGTTGTTGACGATGGACTGATGGATTTGATGTCTGAGATGTTCCAGATGTTGCAAAGACTGTCTACCAACGGTGAGCCTCAAAAGTCTTGGTCAATATAGCAGATCACATTTCAGAATGGACTCCCAAGCTGCTGATTTGTAAATTAGTGTTCATTTGGACAAGAGCAAAGCAAGCCCTTGTTCTAATTAACCTCAATCCCTATGATTCCTTTTAATATAGATGATTAAAAAAAATTGCCATCTAAAATTATTTTTTTTCAGCCAGCTGTTGATATTGCAATCAACAATCAATCTATTTATTTTATTGTATTATAGTATTGTTTTCACAATATGATTTAAAATGTTTTAAAGAATAATACCACTGAAGCGGTGACTGATATTGGGTCATTTCTCAAGGTGTCTTGTGCCTCTAGGTGGTAGCGTCGAGCTTTTGAGAGGCCTTGCAGTTCGTTACGCAAATGATCTGCCGAATTTAAATGTTGTAGCACTGGAGGTTGTTTGCTCTCTCTCTTCTACCCTGCCATTACCGCAAGACAATGGAAGCCGATGTCCACGTGCATTAGTGACTTTTTGTGACAAACGTCTGCCTGGCTGCCCGGGGCTTATTGCATGCTCTCGACCAGTAGAGCTCTGTTGTTTTCCTGCACTCTCGGCTGCGCTGCAGGCATATGAAGCAGAACCGGTGGCGGCAGGGTCGACATGTGACATACTTGCAGCCGGAATCGTGCATGATCAGGCTGTGGCATTTGGGACAGGCCCGGAAGAGGGGGCAGCCGAAGACGCGGCTCTTGGTGTCCGTCACCGTGTTGCAGCTGAGGAGCGTGGCCACCAGCTGGCAGGAGCCATTGCTGCAGCTCTCGGAGGGGGCATCACAGGAGGGAGCCCAGGGGCAGAGGCAGGAGCGGCAGAAGCGGTGGGAACTGGCGCCCGCAGTGCACTGGATGTACTGCAGGGGGTGCCCTGCACCGTCCAGGCAAGGCTGGAGTCTGCCAGTGCAGGAGGGGCACTGTGGAGCGGGGGAGCAGGAAGATGGTCAAAGTCTGACAGAGAAAGACTGATCTCCGTACATTCAGGCTTCAGTCGTGATTCTCAACGTGTTTGACAAAGTGGTACCGAAAATGGCTGATATCCCTAAAGTCAAGTCACCATTAGGGACGCAGACAAGGAAAATGGTACGTGTCAGAATGACGGTCTCTCCCACGCCAAGGTTCAGATGGAGCTGTCATCACAACGCTCAAGCTATATCCCTGCTGACTGGTGGAGGAGCACGGGGCACCCAGAACCCTGCAGGGGGCTCCGGGCCTAACCGCCGCCGCGTTCCTGCTGCGGGATTCGGGACGTGCTGCGTGAACTGCTGGGTCAGCCGTTCCCAGCCCTATCGCTGATGAATTCTGTCACGCAATTTGAATCCTGACATGTAGGTGCGCGACGGGGCGATTATGCGGCAGCCAACGATCAACAACACTGAATGTCAACCCCGGTGCGGAGGGAGCCTCGCTTTCTGGTCTGAGCTATGACATATTTTATGGAAGGAGGAGGATTATCTAGAGCCACCTGAACATCAGGACTGATCACAGGGGCGTAAATAGGGGCAGGCAGCTGGGTAACGGAGAGGTTCTGCCTTACCTGGTCTTTGCTATTGTCTTTTCTCTTAGTCCCAGAGTGCTTTGCGGTTCTTTCTTCAGACAGGAGAGAGAAAGAGCCGGTTGAGGAAAAAAAAACGCTCTTGCCAAGTCTGTAATATTGCAACATTACGGCTAACATCTCGAGAGGCTTTAGTTTTTTTTGGGGTGAAGTTGACATGAATAGAGTGCTTCGTTTGGTAAATCTAAACAAAACCAGAGGTGTAAAGTTACGAAACATAAATTGTTACTGTACTGAAGCAGGTTTGGTTTCCTGGATTTGTAATTTAGTTGCGAGTAAGATCATTAGATTTGAATGTGTAGAATTTTTTTCTCAAGTACTTTTAAAACCAGGTGTTTTTAAACTTTAACTTGAATAGTATTTTACTGGACTATTTATTTGAGTATAACATGTACCTATTATGGTATCTGTATTTTTACTTAAATGTGAAAGTACTTTTCCACCACTGAACAAAAACAGAAATGAAATGACTGTCGTTTTAACGTTTACTCTGTTGTGACTTTCAACGTAATACATAACTCGGATGCTTGATTCATTCTAAGATTATTGCTTTGTATAAAACTTGCTGTATGTCAGTTTTATAACGAAGATTGAAAAAAGCCTATAATCTACCCGATATATTGACGTTAGGGATATTGTGCAGTTTTATTACGCTAATGTACGTTCTTGCTGCCGCATTGAGCTTTTGGACGTTAGCGAAGTCTCACCCATAACTGCTGCCGATCGGTCCGCCGTCCGTTTCTTCGGCTCCCCGGCGTCGGGTTTCCTCGTGATCCGTTCGGGTTCGGTTCGCTGCCTTTCTGGGTCACCTCGGCTTCGCAGTCCGCCAGCCTTGTGACGTTTTCAAAGCAAAAGTAAAACCCTCCGCTTTGTTGGGGAAATTCTCCTTAAGGGTAATTCAGAAAGTGCGGTCCGTAAGCGGAGAACATTAAACAACTAGAAAGACGATAAATATGTACATTTCTGTGCATAACAGTTTGGGTCTAATATTTAATTAGATATAAAATATATGTTCATTGCATATATCGTAAAAATATTACTGTCTTTTTTTATGAAGAACAAGAGATTATTTCCTCTTCCTGCTTGGACCAAATTTATAATTTTATCGCTGAATACAACGACATGACATGTTACGTGCATAGGCCTGTATACCACTTCAGTTCGGTTTTATATGTTTGCCTTTAAACGCATTCATCATTAACAGACAGGGTTCAGTCATAGCCCCTGCACTGGATGCTTTGAGATGGTATCTGAATATAGTGCCAAGTCAATTTTTAAGGGTCTTTTCCCATTTTTTGTTCACATAAAGTGATAGATCTGGATTCCTGCTGTTAGATGTGACTTTTCTTGACACTACATCCCTGGAAGGTCTGAAAATTTGCTGTTCCCTAGGTAACACATCTCTGCTTGCCCACTGAGGCCACCAGCCTGAATCTCACACACATACACGCACCATTAGGACAGTGCTTCAGCCAGACATAACAGAATGAGCGCAAACACTCTACTTAGTATCTGTCACCAATGCGGCAGGTAGGGGGCACTAGTGAGGGCAAGATGAATGGGGTTAGGAGGCCAGCAACAGATTTCTGGTGCAGAGGAGGACTGAACTCACTACTGCTCGTACTCCCGAGAGCGGTTCCATCGTTTTCAAATGAGAATCTGCAGGAAAAACTCCAAGCAGGCTGTCTACTGGCCAAAACCCAGTGTGGTACCCAGGGGGGACAGTGGCCAGCCACTGACCTCATGCAAAAAAAAAAAAAAAACGAAGACATCAGTCAGTGGGTCAGTGGTGATCGACATCATGCTCCTTATTACTGACCACCAAAGACCTGGGTGCCAACCCAACCAACAGTAGTGGGCTTGAGACGCAGAGACCCACAACTCTGAGCATGATAAGCTGCCAGGAGATGGATGGATGGAGATGTGGGAGGCGGCCCTGGCACTGAGGAGCCCTTGTCATGTTACTTTAGTGGGAGCTGCAGTCTCATTGGCCCAGAGCTGAATGGTGACACCAGAGCTAGTGGCTTCTCGCTAACTGCCATCAGTCTTGCTAACCGTAACCCAGCAACCCCCCCACCACTGCGTATCGTGTGACATCCAGAGACAGGCGTGTGTATGCGAAAGCCGGGGTGTCATGGAGTAGGGGGTAGGTCACCTATCTGCAGGTGGGGGAATGGGAGGAGACTCTGGGAAGAATCTACTGACCTCAGATGAGAAGGAGGGCGGACGGAATGAGGGGAAGACATCATCGCTGAGAAGTAATCTGGACAGAAGCGGCGGCCTGTTTGTTGAGGCGAAGGTCTGGTTTCATTTTCAGTATCTGAACGTAAACGGCATGTAAATGAGGACAAACCCGCCCACATTCCTCGTGTCCCGTCTCATTCTCGCACGTCTCACTCTCCTCCTCGTCTTTCCACTATGTCTCTGGCGCCATACATGTGTTTATCTGAACCGAAGACACTCCCAGTGTAGAACTGGTTCGTAATTCCTGTTCGTAATTCCGTATTCAGTCCATAAGGGGAAAATCGTCAATAATTCATACGGCCACTTTGCTGTCGTCTTGCATCACATGTAAACAGTAACATTTTCTGAGCAATGTATATTTTTGTGAAACATTTTATTGTGGGGCAGTATGGTGTCCTCAAACTTCCAGGGTTGTTGGTTCGAATCCCATTCTGGGATTCCGTCCAGGATAAACCCCAGGGCCCCCTCTACCCCGACCAGGATAAGTTATTGGAAGATGGACGGATGCTTCCTTGTCACTTTATTCACTTTGCAAAGCGAACGAGGCAACGTTTCTACCGCGGTAATATAGCGAATTACATCAATTTAATTGACAGACATAAGGCCACGGAAACCAGAGTGTAAGAGTCTCTTGCATCTGCTAAGGTCTATATTTTATTCTGCTTATATGACTTGTAATATCTTAACTTTCCTTACATTTCCTTTAACGTTAATGTTTTTACAGACTGAAAACTCCACGTTTTGTCACGTCCCTGTGTGTTGCTGTGTGAAGTCCACAGGAATCCTCTGACTGATGCTGAGGTTACCCTCTGCGGCTTCCAGGACACCTTTCCAAGGTCACGCGTGTGGAGCTGTGGCACGTGAAAGCAGTCCTTTAATGCACACTTACAGAAAACGCTTTAAACACAAAACAAAACAAAAAAAAAAAATCTACAAGGATTTTAAAGTTAGTCTAGACCTAACAGCAAAAAATCACTGAGTTACCGTTATAAAAAATATATAAAGCATAAAAAGATTAGATAGCAAAACCTATAGCCTATTATATATATAAATTTTCCCTAAATTAAGTGTCTTTCTAGTGTAACAGAAGTTGGGGTTATAGAGGCACCTAAAGCTAGATATTGTGCTCAGAGATGGAGGAAATTTCCCACATCTACTGATGACCTGGACTCTACCAAAATGGGCAGGAGATGCCAGAGACGAAAAGGCCGGTCTGCAGCAGAGGCATGCCAGTGAGGCTCCGTCCATCTCGCTGGGTTGTGCGTGACCACTGTATGCCAGTGAGGCTCCGTCCATCTCGCTGGGTTGTGCGTGACCACTGTATGCCAGTGAGGCTCCGTCCATCTCGTTGGGTTGTGTCTCGCCAGGAAGGTGCACTGAGGACCACGCTGTGAGACCAGGACCATCTCCAGGCATTAATATGCTCCCCAGTCTCTTCATCTCCTGCTCCCAAGTCAAAGGCTGCTTGCTCCATTTCTGCATCCTCACTGCAACTCTGTTCGATGTGAAGTCATAGGATTTCCCCCTCTGTGATTAATGCAGTTCGTCTGCCGTATCTATCGATGTAATACAGCATGCCCCCCCACCCACTCCCATCCACAGCGTGACTCCTGCAGTTCGCCGGCCAATCGCCCGCCTCAGGGACGACTCCTCGCTGGCACAAGCAAACCGTGGGCCAATCACAGGCCTCGACAGGTGAGGCTGGGGGGAAGCGGGGTGGGGGGGGGGTATCTCTGGTGTCTGGGCCATCAGTGCAGTTTCTGAGAAGGAATGACATCAAAAACAATGATTGTCCACTAATTAAACTTAAGCACCAATAAACTATAAAAAAATTACTATACATTTAATATTTTATATCTATATATATATATATGCTACATGTACAGTTCATTTATTGAAATATTTCTCAGAAAATATTATATATATATATATATATATATATATATATATATATATATTCCCACATATATATTCCTATGTCCTGTTTTGAATAGTAGCCAATTACTAATAGGCTATGTATGTACATATATGTGTATGTATGTTACTCCTTGCTACAGAGGCAGCCGCTAAATTTCGTACTTGTGTGATGTCACTTGCACAATGACAAATACAAATCCTTCCTCCTGCAGGTGCCTCCATATGTGCCCTTGTGTACATAATCATCGGTATTTCGTTATTGTGGCTATAATGGCATTTCTCCTCGATCTGTTCGCCCTGTGGCTTCCTGCCCAGAATATCTCCATTCAAATTCGTAACCCTCGTCCGTCCGGTTGATTCGCAAGGTCCACCATGGGAGACACAGCTTGTTACATCCACCTGGCACTTAAAGATGGACCTCACCTGCTACTGGCTCAACTGGGGGCCTACTGGTGACCCCCCGACTGCCGGCCGCGGGACGCTGTCATGACTGAGATGTTGGCGCTTACGGCTGACAGACTACGGTACGACACGTTCCCCCTCAATCGGCTATTTCTGATTCTCTGCCCCGAACGATCACGGCTCCCTTCAGAAACACAAGCCAAACCGGCACCTTCCAAACTGAGACACCAGTATCAGTGCCTCCATTCTGAAGCTATGGGAAATCCCATTCCTGAAAAGGAGCTGGAGCGTGCGGCGAAGATGCACCGAAATACGTTCATGGATGATGCCAGCACACCTTGTCTCGGTGTTGCCTCTGATGGACCTTCAGCTCCTCTGGATCAGCGAACATCTTCTGGCAAAATGGACAGACGCACTCGGGGACCGTCGCCCACGCCAGCTCATCTGGGTGGGGGCCCCTCTCTGACTGTGCCGCACCCTGCATTCTGCTGGACCCTGGACCTAAACAGCGGCTGTCAGCCCCCGATTCCTGGTTCTCTTCAGCCACGGTTCTGCTAGAACCCAAGCAAGGAGGTCTCGGTTTGAGATCTAAAGATCCAGCGGGAAGCTCCGCCCCCTCCTTCTGGGTGCACCGCCTATCTGAGCCCGACAGTGGCCGGGCTTTGGGTGGGTCAACCTGACGCTGGTGGGGAGGTGAAACTTCAGAGACCCCCGGTTCTCGGACGGGGCAGCTGGTCCGTGTGTTGGATTTGGCCTGCCCATCCCAGTCTCGCTTCACCGCACCAGAACCTGCTCTGGTACGGCCATCGTGTCCCTGGGGCTGGGCCAGCTCAGAGCTCCAAGTCTTCAGGGGTGGCACAGAGAGCTGCTGGATGCAGTGGTGAAGTGAGGGGTAGTCCACATACTTGAAGTTGGGTACACCATCCTTGGCGGCCACAGGGGCGGCGCCGGTGGGCCTCCGTGGCGGGGGGCACCGTGCCAGCCAGCTGTCCAGGGGGGGGACGGCAAGCTGCCGGATGCACTGGTGCAGGGAGGGGAAATCCACATACCGAAACCGGGGCACCTTGCAGGGAGCACTAGTGAGCTCTTCCCTTTTCACTTTGATGGGCCGATCCGTCTCTGTCACACCGGCCTGCTCGACAGGCCTGGCGTCCGAGTCGGGCCCGGTCTCACACCCAGGTCTTCCGGCCTCTTCTGTGGCAAACCTCCACCTCTCCATGGTCCTCTGACCTCCTGGTTCCTACACATGCACAGAGACAAACCAGAACCCTCAGAACCCATCCTGTCTGTGAGGCCACGGGTCGGCAAATCTAATTCGATCACAAATCTCAGACGTTTCTCTGAACGGGGGAGCCCGATGAGAGGAAATGAAATGAGAGAAAAGCCCTGAAATCGAGGACGAGCCTTTAGTTCCACTGCCAAATGACACAGTTTCTGCATCAATAATAAGGCAGAGGCAGCTACCAATTCAGTGGCCCTGCAGGGCTGCGAATTATACCAAAGACAGAAACTCCAGGTATTCCGTGTAACCGAACGGCGTGGTCACTCTCCCCGCCGAATGCCGGTTTATACTGGGATAAATATTCCCTTCACTGTGAGGCACAAACTCCAACCATGACAGCAGAAGGACAGGATGGCCCCATCTTAACACCTCATTTGGCTGGGCTCTCCGAGGCAACGCACGCTGGGAGACTGAATTATCCGCCTCCCCGGGGATAAGCCCCCGCCAGACCCCGACGTCCTGTAACTACGGATAGCGGATTGTGCCGTCGCGGCCAGGCTGGCTCCGCCCACACTGGTGGTTTCTGCAATGGGGGGGGTGGAAACGGAGACCCGTCAGAGGGGCTGTCTGCTCCTGGGGCCTGCTGAAGTCGATATAAATAGCTCTGCAGGTATGAAGGAAGCTAGAAAGTAGGTCAGAGCCAGGGGCCCAAAACAAAATATCCATCACGCTGCGCTGTCCGTCGGCTCGCGACATGCTAACCAGCGCGAGCAAAGGAGGCCCGGCTGAAACACACGCCTACGTCTCCCCGCCCCTCCTGCGCACTCTAAAGTTTCGCACGCAAGCAGACGCAAATTTACACAGCCCATGAAGCAGCCGTTCGGACACACCCATAATCGCCAAGCTACTCTGCTGAGTTGTTAAATAATCAGCAAGACAAATAAATCCTAAGCCGGGTGTGAAAGGGCTTTGCTGATCATTACTAAAATGTGCAAGAAATCATGTATATGTCTTGTATTGCTGTACAAGACCATCAGTCCTGCGTCACAGTCACTGCTGGAGTTCCTGGGATTGCCCCCTTATCAAGAACATGGATCATTAAAATAAAACTTGCAGTGTTTTAATATGATTAAGCAAGCGGGGGGAAAACACAAACGCGTCCCTTTACTTTTTTTCCTGGGGACACTGCACTCCCCCCCCCCCCAACATACATCCCTGACACAGAGAGAAAGCGGAGAATGCGCTGGAGCCGCGCCGAGCCCCGACGACGGCCAGGGAACGGCGTGTTCTACATTTGCTCGCCGTGTTTGCGCGCAGGAATTGGGTCACCATGCTGGCCTACATTCCGCCGGGTTTGTTGTCTTCGGCTCCCCCCCCCGTCATTATTTGGGCTGGCCCCGCCCGCGTCGCCTCAACTGCGACAGCAACTGGTCCTCCTAACGGCGATAGTTGTAGCGCACAAGAACAAATCCAAAGACTGTTACCACGCGCAATAAACCCTTTAAAAACCTTCTTTCATTGGCATCGTCCTGTAATATTGTATTTAAAACGCCCGAGACAGGCGGCGAACAAATACATTGTTTCCAGGAAATTGTTACAATTCATTTCATAATCACCTTTTACGTCTGACTTAAATTCTTTAAACAACCAAATAATGATGCAACAACCCTGAATTGTGAACTTCTGTATAATTAAGATTATACGCATTATTTACAAAACACCTGTTTTAAACTACTTTTATTGTTACAATAGGCATAATTTGAAAATGGATAATAATTATAATTGCGGCCCATTCGGGATTACCTCAGTGTTATCGATGTCCGTTGGATTCTGTGGGACGCGCATTAACTCTTGTTTCCGATGGTGTAGTATTGTGCATTATCTGCAATAAAAATTAATCTAGCTTCTCCCGAAATTCGTTCCCATGCTTGAAAATTGTTCTGGTGCACTTTATATCGGTCAGACTTTCGGGGAGATGCAGTGCGATTGCTGGGCAAATAACTGCTGCTTGGTAGATTTATAACCTGTCAAAGCCGCATTTATTCCGAAAGTGTAAACACCACTTTGGTGCGGACAGGCGTCCAACGCTCCTAATATGATTTTGGTACTGATCGTGCTCCTTAGACGCGCAACCATTGGCCAAGCTCCTTACCTTGGCTTACTGACGTCATAGCATACACCAATAGAATCTCCCAGCGGCGCACTAATGTCCAATAGAAATCGACGGTGGGAGGTGCCTTCTTGTCCTACTTCTAAGCCAATTGCATTTGCGTGAGATCCAGCGTGTTGCCGCCTCGGCTGCTGTAAATTGTAAGCGTGCGGTTCAGTTTGTACATGAGGATTCAAGTACAGCGGGATGGTTTATAGGTGTCAGCTTCACAAATGACGTCTGAGTCTCGCCTGGTTTCGGTTTTCGGCGCAGCTGTCTTTCCATTGAGGGCGACCAAAGTGAATCATCGTTATTTAAAAATGCATACTACATACCTTAAAATATGTTTGATACATATCTATAATCTCTTCAGGAAAAACGTAGTTCAATTAACTGCGCCTATGTGCCTGCATAATTACTTTACGCATACAATGTACATTGCAAAGTTTACCGTAAAAACGTGATGGAAATGAAATCGGTTTAAAAAATAAATAATAAATCACCATAAAACCCACACACTGGTAATACGGTACTGATGACCTTACAAGAACCCAACCCTGATATGGTCAACTGAGGTGCTATGTTTCCACTCTTTACAAGAACCGGCGGTAAATTCACACACACTTACATGATCTCAGACATGTATGGACGGCAAAGTTCTCTCAGACAAAGGGGTTTTGGTGTCTTTTTCGTGATAAACAAAAAATGGGGTCAAGGTCCCTTTAAGTCCAGCAAACTGAGACAAAGGAAAACAAACTGGAAACCCTCAGAGCAACATCACAGAGCTGCCCCGTTATCCCCATGGTGGCGGCTTCCTCTGCCCTTTCCGAACGTCCTCCATCCCGGTCTCCGAAGCGAACGAGCTCACCTCGTAACAAGAAGCTCGTCCCAACGAGGGCCACCTGGGTTTTATTAACTGGGTTACGTGTAGAGACCCCACCGGTGATCAATCACCGCAGCATGGCAAGAAGTCGCCCAGCCGCAGACCTGTTCTGTCGCGCTACCTCCAGCTGAGTTCTGCGGTCCGGCCCGCTCGAACATTCAAGCATGAAATGTTTTATAACCGCCGTTTATGCAGTAAGAGTTTTCCTTCACCGGGGATTCGACCCCAGGCTCACTTAAACATTTTCCCATGGTTCCTAAATGAAACCACGCAGGGTCAATGGCAGAAAGATGTTGTGGTGCTTAAACTGCACGTTTATTTAATGTCATAATTTCTTTCTTCCATACCGATCAGAACGGGATCACGTCGACTTGTAAGCACAAAGGTGTCCTTCCTGTCTTCATCCCGGCAGAAAAATACTTTATTAATTATAAAACCACGCAATATTCTATAAAATCACAACAATAAACCATCAAATAATTAAAAACAAACAACAAATGTGCATTAAAATAACTATATGGCCATTAGAACACTTAAGATGTCACCTTAAATGCAAGTCATTCAAAGATTAAAACCTTTAAAAGAGGAACATCACACTATCAGGAGAACAATTTGTGTGCCAAATTGGCCATGGAGCCAACCAGTTTGCCAGGGGTCGTAGGCAGACAACAGTGACAGGAATATCAAGAACCATCGCGGAGTGCGAGTTTCTCATGAAATTTTAGTAGAATTTCCCATGATGCGAACACAGCCAGAGGGCGTAAAAACCTACGACTATTAAGGTATTTTCTCAGATGTTTCTGGTGCTCATCAATTTCTGTTGTAAATTCCAAGGCAAAGGATATACTATGTACAGTTTGCTGAAGCATGCTTGTTCACCACAGATAAGAACCACAGTGTAAAACCTGCTATATCCTCTCGGTAAATACATATGCAAACAGAGAGCAACATTTAAATGGGGTTAGATCTTAGCTCGTTCTGTGTGCTGTAGGTTTCGCCATGGACTGAGTCTTATCACAGGTGAGACCACTGGGCTGGTTTGTGTTTACCTCACCCGCTCTGTGTTTCCTGCTCTAGGGTACGCGAGCAGAAAGTAACCACAATGCCCGGGAGCATGCCAGTCACAAAGGCCGCGAGTACTGCTGCTCTACTTCTGGGGGATTCCGGTTCAAACACACGCAACCGGATCCGCTGCGGTGGCGGCACAAGTCGCGAGGCACTAGAATTACTATATACGTAAAAATACCGAACCACAGACCACCATGTCGATAAACACTAAAATTCAAGCTTGGCAGCCGTGATCCCTCAGGGCAGAACGCGGCTAAGGGACCCCTCGCTGTAAACACGGGAGTAGCCACGATATTGTCGAACACTGCCCCCCTGTGGCCTTATTTAGGTGTGCAGTAACGTAGGGCGTTGCCTCTATGCTGGTAATACTAGGTGAGGTGAACTGGGCTGTGGCTGAGCAACGTCTGCCCTCCAGCGAGGATAGGGGACATTGAAGCTGCTTCCTCAAACTTAACCAATGCCACGAAACCAGTCTCCCACCTAGATCTGGGCTATCTTCTTAGTATCCGAGAAAACATTGTTTTTTTTACTGTAGAGGCCAGGTAATCCCAATAGTTTTGAGCCGTACTTTCCAAAAGTGTCGCATTGGATTATTACCTGATTTGCATATAAGAAACGTGATCACCTGACACACTCTGCAGGGGAAGAATTTATTTCAGTCGAACGTTCTAGTGCTGAGGGGTGAAGATCCTTTATATGGAATGGGATGGTTTGTTTCTCTATGAAATGGTTCTCAGTGAATAAATCATTAAGGGTTTAAAAGGAGCAAGTAGAAGCTTCACGATTGTTTTTGTTCATTGTATTAAAATAGACAAACCCTCCTTCTTCCCTGGATTATCAGAAACAAGTGGACACCCCTGAATGAAGGAATTGTAACAAAAACGTTCAACATTTACTTGGGATGTGCCTGGTTTCCAGTAAACAGCTGGTGTGTGACTTCAGACTTAATATTATAGCTGAGATGGAACATTTGATGAGCGAAGGGCCGCAGTCGGAGTCTGTCAGAGTGTTGCTATTGGCTGAGATGAGGAGGCAGGAACAGCGTGGCCAATGAAATAGCAGGGATGGCCCGGAATACTGATTGACGGGAACAGGCTGGAACGGAGCCAGGTTGTCATGGTTACATTACCATTTCCCAGTGCCAATGGGATCTGAAAATGCACATGAACCGCCGCACGGGCTGAAGCCATGGATGACTCTGCTGAAGTCGTCCGTATCAGGGGGGAATCTGCCAGTATCTAAGACCTGCTAGCTCAGCCATGATGCCGCGGGGTTAAATGCGAATGGAGTGTTGTTACCTTGTTAGTATGTGCCAACACAGCAGGTCGTTTAGTCAACAGATGACATCTCGGCAAAAAAAAAGAGAAAAAAATGTGTATTTGCTATCTCGGTGTTTCTCAATAATGTTAAATAAGCGGATGCAGGTGCTTTGTTCTGCCAAGAGGGGGAGCCACAGCTCCATAATTGCCATAAACGGGTGATTTCAGTTTAGACCATTGGAACAAGCCAGCTGGTTAATTCCCGGTTGATTTCCTAAGATACAATGTTTCAATTCCTTTTCCTATTCAAGCTCTTCTGACCCATTGTGTGCTCTGGGTTTGCTGTTATCTCTGTTCTTACATGATCTTAGCAGGGTCATTGAATGGATGGTGCATTTGACACCTTTAATTGCACATGTGAGGATTCATCACTTTTCAGACATCAAGTGGCTCTGAGTCTTGATGCAGTGAAACTGAAACATCTGGTTTTAGACCATAATAATTTATTAGTGTGGTATAGGGCTTCCTTTTGCAGCCGATTCAGTATCAGTTCATCTTGGGAATGACAGATACAAGTCCTGCATGTGACCAGAGGGATTTTGAGCCGTTCCTCTTACAGAACAGTGGCCTGGTCACTACGTGATGCTGGTGGAGGAAAACGTTTCCGGACTCGTTCCTCCAAAACAGCCCAAAGTGGCTCGATAATATTCAGATCTGGTGACAGTGCAGGTCATGGGAGATGTTCAGCTTCATTTTCATCAAACCACTCTGTCCCCAGTCCTGCTGTGTGTACTGCTGCAGTATCATTCAGATACATGGCACCACCTTCAGGTTGCAGTGTTTGAACCATTGGGTGAACCTGGTCCTCCTGAATGGTTCAGTAGCCCTTCGCAGTGATGCGACCATCTAGATTAAGTCCTGGGCCTGAGGCCCACCCCCGTGCTGCACTCTGGGTACACAGCAGTCTGGGTGGTAAAACCTCTTTGGAGCTTCTCCACACCATAACTCTCCTAGATGTGGGACAGACAGTGAAGATGGACTCATCAGAGAACAATACATGTGTCACATTGCCCACAGCCCAATATTTGTGCTGCTGGGACCATTGAAACCGACATTTGACATTGGTATGAGTGACCAAAGGTTTGGCTATAGCAGCCTGACCAAGAATATTGACCCTGCGGAGCTCCTGACAAGCAGTTTTGATGGAAACAGGAGAGTTGGTGTGTGCATTTAATTCTGCAGTGAGTTGGGTAGCTGCTGTGGTTTTATGTTTTTTGGATACGATCCAGGTTGGTGCCCGGACCTCCCTGTCAGACAGCTTCCAATGCGCCCACAGTTACTCCTGTTGGATGTGGTCCGTCCTTCGTGGTGGTGTGCCGACATCACCCTGGGTACCGTGGCTCTCACCACAAAGACCTGCTGTCCAGGTCACAGATGCACCAACAATTTGTCCTCTGACATGTCTATCATTGTGTTGTGTGCATTGCAACATTTTATGTACAGCTGTGCTATTGCTCCGCCAATTCAACACATACAGTATATAGCCATGAAACCTCAAACACTATTCACCAGTTTCAGTTGCATTGTCCAGCCCCTGTACATTCACACAATAAGATTATTCAGAATTCATTTTGCCAGCAATTAAATGATCACTTCCTATACAATGTGTTTGTTTGGTCTGTGATAGACTAATGCAGTCTGGCAATCCCCAGAAAAAGATTGACTCACTAGAACACAATTTATTTGCACAAGCACAAAAATATTCTACATGTTGTAAATGCGTAGTCATTTGAAATACATTGGTGTTTTACATTTCTACAAAATAGAAACTGTATATTTTCAGATCACAGTACTTTAGTTACATTTTAGTGCCCGGACACCAGTGTATCTGCAGCAATGCATGTATCATTTGAAGATGAATTCCACGTTCAAGTGTAAATAAAAGTAAAGCTTATAACACAACATGCATTATAAATTCAGACATACGTACATTCCGGATCTGATTAAAAATGAATAATGGTTTCTCACATTCACACACCACTTGGTCTATGGACTATTTCTTGAAACAAGGGGAAATATTCGTACAATTAAACTGAACACAAAGTAGATGCATCTGTCCCATACAGTGCCATTAAATGTTTCTAATCAGTTACAAATGGGTTATTCTGAATGGGATCCATTTCACTCTCGTGGACCGGGCCCTGCAACTCAGACTATAGAGCCATAAGCTGACTGCATTCTGCAGCTGCCGCAGTCGCACTTGGCATACCGTCATCTTCAACGTGATTGGCAGTGCGATTAAAAAAAAAAGGCAAAGCATTGACAGAAACAGGAATCACTGGTACATCTGCCTAACTTGTAGGTGGCTTTGGACATAATGTGCCAGAGTAGACAGGGATGGATGTGGCTGGGTCCTGTTCCGGGTTCCTGATGCTTTGGCGTGTTTCCTGGGGCTGAGCTGCTGCACTGGTATAACTTGGTGGTGGGAAAGTGACCCACGCCATCTTAACACCCCCCAGTGTCGCCCTCCATGCCTCACGGCACACGAAGACACCCTGGTCCATATAGACGCCTGAGAAAACAGGGAGAGGTCAACCCACCAAGGACCGAATCATTCGGAGACCCCTTGATGCCTTTTATCTATAGCTGTCACTTCATCGTTTTCTGCCGGTCGAGGAATCTCTGCCGTCGGTCTGCAGGAATCTCATCCAGGCTGATGCCGTGATTACTGGCTCTGGAAGGACGAAAACCGGGAGAGGTGTCACGCACTGACGGGTGATGCAGCTCATCCATGCCTCCAACGGCACATCCTGTGCATCTAAACGAAAAAGGGATGCAGCTGACTAGGCGGAAACGGTTGGTCAAGCAGAATCTTACCCTGGGGTTAGGTCTGGAGGTACAGGCAGTGGTTTATTGAAGCCGGCTCTGCCAACCAGCCAGTAGGTGTCTTCTATTCCTTTCCCCTGAAGCGAATGAGAAACAGAGAAGGATTGAGGAAGAGTGGCATTGTTGCGGGAACAGATCGCCTGCCGCGTGGGCCAAAAACGACGCGCCCTGGGTGTGAGTCGCAGATTGCTCTACCTTCAGCTCTGTCTTGCCTCTGATCTCCAGCCTGTATCCGAGTTGTAGACTGTGCAGGATCTCCACCGTAGTTTGGTTCACATGGATTCTGTAGGCTGCAGAACAGTGACAATCATCTCTTTATTTTTTATATTCTTTGTCACGTGAATTACCACAGTAGTCACTGTCCTTGAAATGTCCTTATAGACACGGCTGACTTGAAAACAAACTTGCAAAATATTTGTAAAGACTTTACAGTCACCGATTCTCACAATTCTCCACTTTTACAAGCCCCAAACCATAGGGAACGATCCACCGTTCAGTTGTAACCTCTGGCTGTGTACTTTAAGCACGTACATAATTTCATCTCGTTCTCAGGCATGGGGTGACTCTGTCCTTCGTGACACATGTGCACTTGGTAATTAGGTGGAGGCAGGACACGCTGATGAATAGTGAATTTGGCCACTAATTCCGCTGATAACCTAAAAGGATTGCTGCTCACTTCTGAAACCCTACTGAGCTCGTCAGGCAACGAAAACACACACACACACACATTCTGAAATTACCATAAAAAGACAGACAGTCATGATGCTGAAATCAGCACTGAATATGTCTGCTTCCAGTGCACTGGAACACTGCAGTTTGGTGCTTCAGCCCAGCTAAAGCTGCCTTGTTAGCTTAAGACTCGTACCGCTGACATCCGACACAGAGCTGCTCTTATATAATACGCCACTCATACATGTTGTAGAGCTGACTGCTAATGCGCTCTTAGATTGATTTTTTTAGTGGTTTAAATATAGAGACGGGTCTACGTAAAAAAAACATAATGCGAACGTATCGCGTTATATAAGAGGTAAATTATTTATACTGGGAAAGGGGTCGCCTCCGATCCCAGCAGACCAAACGTCCCGCCTCATTCCTGGAAACACAAGTTTCCATGGCAAAGTGTTGGGGAAAAAAATGTCGACCAACATCCAAGGTACATAGAGACAGGGAGATGAGGTCAACAAGGGTCAAAGGGTCACCGTCGTAGGCATTGGGTACAAACGATGCCGTGGGTTTGTTATTGCAGGAAATACTCACGTAGGCCTGTGGACTCCATGCGAGAGGCCGTGTTGACGGTGTCCCCAAAGAGGCAGTAACGGGGCATGGTGAGACCGACCACCCCCGCCACAACCGAACCTGGAGCAGAGGCAGGCAGGCCGGGTCAGCGGCGGACCGGGCGGCGGGAGCCGAGCAGACGGGCACAGCTGTACGTGGGGCACACGCCCCTCAAAACCCTTCATGAACTTCTGGGCACCCTTCATGGCGCATTTCGTATTAGCTGTGGTATGAATCTCTTTTACTGGTGGCATAAGGAAAATTACTAAAGATGCCCTGATTGGTTGATGGTTTGAATACAGGCACTGTTAGCAAATCATGATTGTGGGTGACGAGAATGGAGGTTTTGTCCGGCCCACTAGGATGACATCACCAACAACCTTCCGATCACCGGTACAGTATCATATTCCAATTGGGTGCATTTTGAATTATGAATTGTTGTTCTCTACAGTAAATCATCATTTTTCTGAAACCTGGCCATTATAGGTGAAGGGCTTTGGGGGGTGGGGTGTTAGGGGGGGCTCACCCGAATGCAGGCCGATGCGGATCTTGACCTTGACGTTGGGCATGTGCCTCATCTTAAAGGCGCCGATGCAGTGCAGGATGTCCAGCGACATGTTGGACACCTCGGCCGCGTGCTGGCTCCCGTTGCGGTTCGGGACCCCCGACGCCACCATATAGGCATCGCCGATGGTCTCTACCTGCGGGGGGGGGGAAGGGGAAGTGAGCAGGGGGGGTGTTGGTGTACACTAAACACAGAGATGGACACACATGCCTGTCTGCAAACGTACTCAAGAGGTGTGGGAAGACAAACTCTAGCGAAAACACATCCTACTATTATAACACACAAATACTGCACTTATATAATTAGCAAAAAACACATCTGACGCAGAAATAAAGTCACGCAAAGTGTCCAATTGTACAAAGAAGACCATTCCTGTGCTCACAGAGTGGGAGACGGACACACACACAGCCAGGTCGGCATGCGGGTCACCTTGTAGACGTCGTGCTGCCCGATGATGGCGTCGAAGAGTGTGTAGAGGTCATTGAGCAGGTCCACCACCTCGATGGGCTCGCTGAGCGCCGAGATGGTAGTGAAGCCCACGATGTCGCTGAAGTAGAGCGTCACCTCCTTGAAGTACTCTGGCTTCACGGGCTTCCCCGTCTTCAGAGCCAGGGCCACCGACCTGAAAGGGACACGCAACGTCGGGCCTGTGCAAGGACATGCTTACCGTGATGCAGCAGCCAAGGAGGGAGGCCTGAAAGCCGAGAATTCTGGGTAGCAGAAGGAATTCTGGGTAGTAGAACTCTGCGTAGAACACATAGGGTGTTTCTCAATGCCAGGAACGCAAAGACCGTACTTGTGGTCTTGGCAAGACCGGTCAAGCTAACTTGCCTCTTAGGAACACTTGGAACGCAGTGAATCATGGGATTGGTCTCGTTTGGTGAAGATGCAACCTATGTATCCTTGATATTTGGGGGGGGGGGCAAAAACAACATCCGGGGATTTTTACCGTCCTCTGTACTTGTGTTCTTGAGTATTGGACCTGGTCTTCGACAATCAAAAGATGATGTAAAATGGGTACGCGGGAACACAAGTACGGTCAAGAGAAACACCCGTAATTCTGGTTGTTAAACAAAACTGTTGATTTAACAGGGAATTGCAGGTAGTGTCGAGCACAGAACTCTGGGTGGAAGTCACCTGGGCAGCATCTGTGCCACGAGGTTTTCAGTCTTCGTCCGCTCCACCTCCAGCTCCTCGGTCCTCTCCCGGATGAGGTCCTCCAGGTTGGATGAGTACTGCTCCAGCATCCGCAGCATGGAGTCTATGATGTTTGTCTTCTTTCCTTTGTTTATACTCTTAAACTGTGCAGGGCGGGGGGTTAATAATGTGTGACCCAATGGTGCCATAAATAAAATGCAAACTATGGATGGATTTGATTAGCTGAATCTAGATAAACTTTATCTTGTGCATACAGCAGCGAGGTACATGGGGCATGGACAACCATACATTTAGGGTAAAACAAAGTGCAAGGACGGTACACACAGTACAAACAAACATAGTGCAAACAAACATAGTACAAACAAACATAATGCAAACAAACATAGTGCAAACAAACATAGTGCAAACAAATTATACAGTACACTGCTGCACTGGTATAACTTGGTGGTGGGAAAGTGACCCACGCCATCTGCACCATTTTGAAAATGGTGAGGATAAGGTTAATGATGGTAATAATAATTATTTACATTATTATTAATGCTGATCTGGGCAGAGAGCGGCCCCTGGGAGTGGCCCTGCACCTGCACGCTCCCCACCTCAATGAAGACCTCCTCGAAGGTGGGCCTGCGCTCCGGCTCCTCGCTCCAGCTCTTCTTCATGATCTGGATGCACTCGAGCGGCGCCTCATCCATGGACACGGCAGGCCGGCACAGCGGCGGCGGCGACCGCACCTTCTCGATGATCTCTGCGGCGGCCGGGATGCGGAACACGGGATGCGGAACACGGGATGCGGAACACAGGATGCGGAACACGGATGCGGAACACAGGATGCGGAACACGGCTCACTTATTGGGCCATGATAAAACACCACCCTGTTTTTTTCACCCACTCCCACCCGCGAATTTTCGTTTTATAGGGTGCTTCGGGAAAATGCATTCGTATTCATGAGCGCTTCCTGATTGGCCAGTAAATGCCTTAGTCAGAGTTCCCCCATCAATTAGGTAGCTTCTCCATGAATATTAATGAGTTTCCCCAAACTACCCTGTAAAATTTAAATTTCCCGCCACCCCCCCCCGCCCACAGCCCACCCCACTGCACTCCAGTTGCAACCTCCTGACAGAATTCAGTGCAGCTATCACTAACCATGCCCGTGGTTTCCTATAACAAATGTAGGGTGGCCGTATTTTGGTTTTCGAAACAGAGGAATGTAAAGAGATGCACCGACGTGATGCAAATATGCACATAGTAAGTATTCTAACTGTGGAACGCAAATGCCAGCATGAAACAAAACAAAATTCCACACATTTCAGGCAATTTTTTGTACCCAAAAAATATAACAAGTCAGGGAAAAAAGAACAAGGAAAAGGTGCATTGTCACCCTAATGAAGGGCCCTAGGAGTTTGGACTTCCTCTCTCGAAGATGCCTCTCCCCCTGCTGTCACCCAACCCCTATTTCCCACGCCCCCCCCTATCTGCCCCTCTCTCACCCTTGACGGGAACGTCTAGCATGCAGAAGGGCGAGTTTCGGGAGATGACCTCCTGCATGATGATGGCGAAGCTGTAGATGTCCCCCTTGTAAGTGCCTTTCTTCTCCAGCGCTGGGTTCCTCAGGAGCTCAGGGGCCGTCCACAGCAGCTCTGCGTGTGTGGGGGTGGGGGGATGGGCCGCACACATGCTATGCTAAATGCTAATGAACATTAGTGGAGCGGGTGAGGCAGACTCTCGGTGTTGGGGTCCACAGCGGGTTCAGACGTTCTCTCACCCTCAGGCCGACTCTCCGGCGTCACCAGCCCCTGAGCACGGGTGATTTCGTTGAAGCCGTACTCCCCCACCTTCAGCACGAAGCGGCCGTCCACCACACAGTTGCGGGACTTGAGACGACCGTGAACGATGTTGCGATGGTGGAGGTACTTCATCCCCTGTTTGTGGGGAGGAGTCATGGAACCCAAACGTCAAAAGGACACAGAGTTGGGGAGAAAATAAATGTGGATTATGGGAGGGATTTGCTTGATTGATTAAGGATCTGGGAGGGGTGAGGACAGCAGGAAGCTATGTAACCAATCAGCATCCAGCAGATGTATGACAATGGAGAGAAGAGAGCTGTGGATTGTTTGATTGGTCGATTTCCTCCCTCATAACTCTCCAAGAGCAAGTGCCTACAGCTTACTGCTGGCTTGTGATTTGCTGTTGTCCCCTGAGGTACTTAACATCCAAAGGACATGACAGCGTAACCCCTGTGTGCTGGGATGAGACTGTCTGCCCCCGATCTCACCCTGATAAGGTCGGTGAGCAGGGATGACTTGAACATCCAGTCCAACCGCATGTCCTCGTTATTGAGGAGGTCCTCCAGGCTGCCGCGGGTGCAGTGCTCCATCACCACGCCGAAGACGCCGCCGTCGAAGAACAGCCCCAGCAGGAGATTGAGGTTCTCGTGACGCATGTCCCTTAGCTGGAAGGGGGGGGGGATGTTGGGAAGGATGAATATGTAAGGAGGAATAGAAAGGACGATTGTGGGCAGGTAGATACGGAGGGCAAACAGCAGGACATGAATATGGGGGATTATCCTGGTCTATTAATAGAACATCATGTTTAATTTAGCAGACCTTTTATCCAAAATGACATTTGAGAAGGCAGGGTCAGGCCCTGGAGCTATTGGGGGTTAAAGGTCTTGCTTAGGGGCCCAGTGGCGAACTCACTCTGCCAACCCTGGGATTAGAACCAATAGCCTTCCGATTACAGAATCCCATGCCACTTAGCCACACCCTACTCCCAGATGCTGCTGTGTTTCAGGCCGCAGACCGTTTGCACCTTAGACAAACAAGATCACCGCCACTCTACAGAGACTGACGGTGTCACCTGACTGTACTGTCAGGAGCTAAAACCTTCCAGGTCCGGGTTCATGTACAGTGTACATGTGTGTATGCTGAGGATTTCAGCAGCCTTTGGTGTACAGCTACAGCATGGTTAGGTGACGTTCTCCCCCTGCGTCTCCAGATCCTTCACCCACCTTGATGAACACAGCCTGTGTGCTCTCCTTAACCTCCACCACGGAGTCTCCATTTGGGAACTTCTTCAGCCAGACCCAGTCTCCCTGAAGAACATGGGGCCACGTCACGCGTGCTACACACGTGTGGCATGTACGGTGTAGCAGGGCACCTCAGCTGGTCTTTGATACGTTAGTCAGCCGTTAGTTTAAAAACACTTCGACTGTGGCTTTTGGGGACTGGGGGTTCTCACTGTATTGTAAGCATGTGACCTCAGTGATGACCTTTGTGATGTCACACAAAGTTTGTTAGGATGGCCAGGGACAGAGAGAATCAGGCAGCACAAGTACAACGGCAGTGGCATACAGAAAGGCTTCTCTGAATGTAGGTTTAATCTACTCTTGAAGCAATTGTATAACAAACAGTAGCTAAAACTCTAGTTTTCAGGTTTGCTTCCCTAAAGTTGTACTTCCAGCGCCAGTGGATGTGAACAGTGTCTTTCAGGCACATGCCTAATATAATAAATAGCAATTTTCCAGTCCTACAGCCCCAGGTGTCAGTGATGTAATAAGCATTGGCCAATGGGAGGTGCGTGTGGGAGGGGCCTGCAGAGAGCCACGTTCCAGCCACCTCCAAGATGCCGATGTTGGAGGTCTCGGGCGTGCTGGCGATGTAGCTGCGGCCCGACACGGAGTGCTGCGGCGTCCTCACGTCCAGTGTGCTCCGGGCCGCCGTGTCCTCGTTCAGCTTCTGCAGGCCAGTCAGAGAGCAGGAGGTGGCTTGTCATCCAGCTCACTTTGAGCACTTAGACACTCCTGACATCAACCCAAATCAGGGGTGCAACAGGAGATTGGGGCCTCGTGCATGGGCGTAAATTATGGGATGGATGGGAGGGGGTTGTAAATCAAAACTGGTTAATACAACCCCCCCACCCCCTAATAATCATGGTTTCCCTAGATGGGTGGAGACCTCAACCCCCCCTCCCCCAATGATCAAACCAAAGTTATGCCCTTGGTCCAACGAAAGCGTACCATATTAGGCCAGAGGTAGAAAGTTCATGTCCAGAAACCACAAATCCAGACCAAGATTTTATTTTAACCAACCAGTTAAGTACTCTACAAATGTGGTGCTTTATACTCAAATGGTTGGTTGAAACAAAATCTGGGTCTGGATTTGTACTTTCTCGACATGAACCTTCCACCTCTGTATAGGACCCCCAACACAGACCAATCCAGCTATGTTCCAAATTTCTCTTGGGCCCTGTCACTCAGGAGCCCTTAGAATCATCATAATTTTGCCCCCTTTGTGGTGCCTCTAACCCTAACCCTGCACGTCCAGTCCCACACACACCCTGCTTCACATAGTCACATACAGACCTTTTTGCTGACGTGCGTGTTAATGAAGACCAGATCGTCCAAAGTCAGGATTAATTTGGTGGGAGCTCCTCCGCCACCTGCAAGCCCGACTCCGAGCTGTACCACCTTCCTGGGAGCGACCGCATGACCGACAGCCAGCAGGTAGAGTCGAGAACAGAGAATGAAGCAGCCAGTGACAAGCGGGGCCGCCTGAAGCTGGACGTGATGTGCAAAGGTGGAGGGACGTGATGTGCAAAGGTGGAGGGACGTGATGTGCAAATGTGGAGGGACGTGATATGCAAAGGTGGAGGGACGTGATGTGCAAAGGTGGAGGGACGTGACTGGTTAGCTAACCGAAAGTGACCATGAAGTTCAGAACGTGCCTTACCGGACGAAGAAAGCAAAGGCTGTTCCAGCCCCCAACAGGAAAGAGAACAGGATGAACAAAACGAAGACAGTGATTCCATCGATTCCTGGTGAAGTAGAGAAGGAGAGCTGTAGAAGTTCATTCGCTGGGCATTCACTGGAAGCTGAGCCTAGCTGCACTTATGCCAGTGCGGCTCCATGACAGTTGTATGCTCATGATGTATTATCAGCCTCACTTGCACATCACATTGGACAAAGGTGACTGTTAAAATAATAAACTGAAATGGAAATTTAAGAGAATTTAACTTTGTTTGGCAGAAGCTGGCACATAAAGACCTTGTAATCAGCCTGGGCTGGTTTGGTCATCTTGGTGTGGTCCTTTTATTAATCGCACTGAAATGTTTAACTTAAATTATTGTGTGGTTTTAAATATTTCTGCATTAGTTGCTTGAATTCTAAAAACACGCCCCCTCCCGGTCCCTCGCACGCCAGCCTCACCTCCACCACACGCAATGTAGGGACTGAACCAGCAGTGGGCGTCACTGCTGGGGGTCCTGCCAGCGAAGTGGATGGGTCGGCCCAGGTATTTGAGGCCGCCGAATTTGCCGTGCGTGTGGGCGGCGTCCAGGGCGTGCGTGGCGGCTAACGAGGTGCCCTCGCCATCGGTGTCCAGTACCACATAGTGGGCCAGCATTCCCTCGCCCTCAGCACCGGCGAACAGCGGCTGGTTGAAGCCTGGGATTTCGAAACCACCTGGACTCTGGGCCAGCAGCTCCCCGGATACCCAGCGGCCCGCCGCCATCCGGGTCTGCTCCACGGACATGGCCAGGAAGTACAGCATGCTGTAGATGGTTCCAAAGAAAGGAGATACCTGTCGACCCCAAGGACAGGGGTTGGGGTGGGTAAGGTGGGAGCAGAACGTGGAGATAAGGAGTACAGACCTTGGCAGAACATCAAAGTAGGTTTGGGTGGCAGTGAGGCTCCGTTAGCGTGCTAAAGCATGAGAGGTACTGTCGCTAACACATTCATCATGCCAGTGAGGTTGAGACACTGAGCTCCACAGGAGGGTTCACTGTTTTACCTCTTGTGGCGCCAAGCTGCTCCGGATCTCCATGCTCTCCTGGGCGTCCCCGAAAGCCTCGTAGAAGTTGCGGTCCCCAGAGTCCATGGTCACGGTAAGCACAGCGTCGTAAGCCTGCCGTAGCTTGCTGTCGTTAGCCAAGGCCGGATAAGATACGTCTTTGTAGGGCAGGGCATAGAGCAGCGTGTCATAAGGGATGAAGATGTAGCCTCGGTCCACCATCCGCATGTCCAGGGCCGTGGTGAGGAGGGCGTGCTGAGTGTCTGCACCAATTAGCACGGAGTGCATGCACATGATGACCACTAGGGGGAGACAGAGAGATTTATTGTGGAGCGTGGGTCCCTGCTGTTGGGTCCGTAGACCTCCTTGTGGAAAAAAATGACAATGTAGTCATGAAAGACTTCAAAATTACAAGGCTGTTTTAGCCCCCCCCCAAACACTCCAGGATTTTTCCTTAAGCTCATCACAAACACCCCAGCCAGCAGACAAGTAAAATGCATGGCATAAATAATGGTGAACAGGGTTCACTAAGGAGCATCAAAACCCAGCACGTTTGGGATAACCACACATGGTCAGTCACCGCCTAGTTTGACCCAATCAGACCCAGTAAACTAATAAAAAGTGGGTTAAGCCATTTGATGACTTTTTGGGTTTCAAAGCCTTTGGTTTCCATGGTTCCTGTCCAGTACTACCCAACAATGTGCACTTATCACATCACAAGAACACTTGCTTTGTACCTTTGACTTGATCAGTGTTTCGGATTTTCTGCAGGGCTTTCCTGGGACCCTCTGCGTCTGCCTTTATGGTGACCACAATGCCGACAGGTAGTCCGAGGGCTCTCAGCGAGGAGGCCAGCTCCTGCCCCGTGGCCACCCACAGTTCCTCTCCCGAGGTGACGACGGCCACATGTGCCCAACGGAAGAAGCGCAGCACGGCAAACAGCACATGGGAGGAGAGGGGCAGTGACCGGAGGAAGCTGGGATACGAGCCGCCTTCCATGTTGGGTTTCAGGCAGGACCACGACATTAGCCCCTTGTTCCAGTTCTTGGCTAACAGGGCTGCCGATGAGCAGTAGCCTGGGTTGGCAGGACCCAGGAAGGCCGAGGCGTAGGCTTGCAGCTCGGTGAAGCGTGCGAGCGCCCGGGAGCTCTGGCAATCCTCGTTGACCAAGATGTAGTCGTACCAGTAACCTCTGCTCAAGTGAGGGTCTTTGTTGATGCGACTCATGGCGAGCTGCGCTGCCAGGTCGGGCAAGGCTTTGGAGAAGAAGGGGTCACATCTCCAGGGTCCAACGATGGCTATTTTGTAGGTGGTGCTCCATGCACAGGGCACGTATGCAGCCATTAGCAAGAGAATGAACATCCAGCTGCTGCACCAGCTCCTTGTGTGGAGTGATGGAGAGAACATTGTGGCAAATGGGTCGTCATCTGTAGGAGAGACACGTGTCCCATCCTTCTTTCGTCTCCTGGTCGCAATGGCACCCAGCTGCCACCGGGGGTGATTGGAAAGACTGATGAGGAAGCAGGAGTCCGTACGGCTCGGCATGGTGCCACCTACCTCAGTCTGCCAGCAGGAGGCGCAGTCAAGGGTTCTGGGTGGAGGTGGTCAACTTGGTGGGTGACCAGGCAGAATTAGGGTTTCTGGATACCTTGCCCTTCTCCACTGACTGGTGCAGGGGACTAGCCCACGGCTGCCTGTGTGTTTGAACGCTGGAGCATTGCTGGGCTCGCTGTCAGGGGAAGAAAGAGGCAGAGATGTTTCACATTAGTTGGCGCTTGAGTGAAGGTCAGGAGGTTATAGAGACATACTCAGTGAGACGGGGGTATGTTTTATAACCCCAAATATTTCTGTGTATCCAGTAAATGTAGAAGGTAATAGGAAGGGTATGATGTTTACACACAGGTTTGGTTGGTAGTTATCAGCAAACCACTGCTGCTTCTTCACAGATGGAAAATCCCCTGTAAACAGCTTTAGAAATGAGGGACACACAAAGTGCACGCCCAAAGTCACTAATAAACTAAAACCTGCTCCTTTAATGCCATGCAAGCCTATTAAATGCTCAGAGTATTACTAGGAAAACAGATGAAGCAGGAGAATATCAGGTGGGGCATCTGCAGAGGCCAGCCAGACGATAGGATGGATGGGGAGATGAGGAACAGATAAATGAACAGAAACATAGCTGTGTGACACAGATCAGAGAAAGAGTGTAGGACGCCGAAACAGGATGGGCGAGTCTGCAATGCAGAAACTGCAAAGTGGGTCTTAGATCATCTGCAAAACGGTCTGAAAAGATGACAGAGAATCTGAGAACTTTGGTCACCAGCCACACCTTTGGTGTTAAATCAATTAACTAAGAAGAATCCTGTCGGTTCGGGATTTCCACCTGTATCACTTTATGAACTTTAAGTCACACGCTGTCCATTTTGCTTTTCGTTTTACAAATATAAATTTTTGGGTCCAATCCATCAAAATGTTTCCCACTCTCTTTAGGGATCTCAAGGTTCTCATCCTTCCTTTATCCCCTCCATATGTGCCGCTGAAAGGGACATCTTCAAAAAAAAAATACTTTTAGCGAGATAAGCAGTTAAAACACAGCCAGATGGACTTTCATTCATACTCCAAAGCTGCAGTAAAACATCTAAAAGCTGGTCTGACTTTTGTCCATTTATGGTAAGAAACATATGTGGATTCACAAAACTGACGACACATTAGGTGCTGTGAAAACACACTAGACCAGTTTTGCTACCGGCATTTTGACATGGTGTTAACATAATTTGCCATCTTGTTCATCCTTTTATGGAATTTACCCGGTGAAGATGGCTGGATATTGTAAGTGAGTGATTCAGCCCGAGTTTCTCTCAAGGATCCTTGCTTGGGATGAAACCTACGGCCATCAGGTAACAGTTGAGTGTGTGTTTTTGACCACCCACTGAAGGTCTAGGGCAGGGAAGACGTTACATGTGGGTTTTTGGTTAGTTACCAGCAGCTTAAAGGCCTCAGAGGCTGCCTCTGTAACCTCCCTTAAGCAGTCACGCCGAGTCAGCGATTTGCCGCTGTTTCGTTTCCTGAATGCCAAGCTCACACCCATCCACATCCTGAACAGAAAAGCATAGGTGTTGTTCTCCTCATTAACTTCCCTCTTTCATCAGTGAAATACACCCTCACGTTTTGTTCTTAATTATCATTCCTGGTAATATTGCTATATTGTTTAATAGTGAAGCCGCTCGCCATGTCACGAGCACGTCTTTGTCTAAACCAGATCACGCAGTGTCACCATTACGACACAGCCGCCAGTTAAACCGGCTCAGACAGCCATCCGTCTGTTTTAAAAATATTTCCAATCAAAAATGGCTATTCTTCAAGCTTGAAAGTCACAAAGCACCATGTGGTCCAAACAGTTCTTGATTGTGCCGGTACTCCCCTTGTTATTCAGTACCCGAAGATATTGAGAGGTGCCAGTACCCAAACAAAGACAAAGTGGTGCTGGAAGTGCATACTGGTTAGTACCAACCCACTTCAAGCACTGGATCCAAAGAGGCAACAGTGAGCCAGCGGAAAGCAGCCATGTTCAGTCCGAGGTAGTGGACCAAGTGTGCCAATAGTCTTGGGTTCGCTCATGTTGGCTGACTCTACATGAAAAGCAGCCGCTTTGGCCTTTCGCATTTCTGCTTTCCAGTTTTATTGCCGCACATGTTCCGAGGAACACAATTAAATTCTTACGCAATGATTGCAGGGGAGGGGACAGGTGCACGGGGGACAAACAACAACCCAATACAGGACAAAACAAAAGCACAATAAAAAAACAAGACAGTGCAAGACAAAAGACAATGCAATGTAGGAGTTTTAGTCACCACAAGGCGCGGGGTGTGTGGCAATCCATTATTACATCACTTATACAGAATGGTACATGAAACAGGGAAAAAGAGAAGGAAAAGAAAGAAAGCCAGCATTATTACTTTTAGCACTATTACCACAATACTATTGTTGTTAGCGCTATTGCTGTTAGCACTATTACCGTTAGCACTATTGCCGTTAGCAATATTACCGCTAGCACTATTGTCGTTAGCACTATTACCGCTAGCACTATTGCCGTTAGCAATATTACCGCTAGCACTATTGTCGTTAGCACTATTACCGCTAGCACTATTGCCGTTAGCACTACTGCCGCTAGCTCTGTTGCCCTTAGCACTATTACTTTTCTAAAAACACAACACATACGAAATAAAAGCAGGCTTCCCCATCTTTTTATGTTCACTTCATTCTGTATTTAGCCCACCAAACCGGTGACATCACTGCTATGCCGCTGCATGACCATCAGTCAGCTAGCTTACCAGGTGTCTTTTTAAAATTAATTACTTCATTCATTGGTAAATAATTATGTTTAGAAAAAACACAAAAATGTGTTAACAAGAAAGAAATCAGCTTCTGGACCTGAAATGCCCAACACTGGTAGCATATTCCTTATTCTTTGGGTGATATTTTACATCATTTATCATAATGAGAATCAGAATCAGGTTTATTGGTTTATAGGTTTATAAGTATGTGTGTGGCACATCTATGTTCCCTATGTTATCTATGTTCCCAGTCATCTTAAAGGAGCAGAAACAATCTTTAAGGTGATTGTGTTCTAATCCCCTCCCCAAGTGTGTAGGACGTGCATGTTCTCCTTATGTGTGTGGGTACAACACCCCCCTCCCCTCAAACCTCTGCCAGATAAGTAAATAGAAAATGGATGGGGTGACACTGCCTGTTTACGTTACGGAACATATTGACATTTAAAATCATTTAAAATACAAATAATGACCCATTTTTAGGGTGTTCCTTCATTGTGACCTTAGTCAGCCGTTCACAAACATGTCACACAAACATGTGCCCAGACGAGTATCTACAGACTGGCAAAAATCTTAACTCAACAGATGCCTCTTTTTGAAAGCAAAAGTGTTCTTCTAACCTGCATTGTTACTTATTATCAGCTAATGGGCTGCAGCTGGATGGTTTTGCCTCCCAGCATTGTCTGCAAGCTAATTGTCCTGATGCTTAAGTGTTTGACTTGGGCTCAACAATGAACAAGGCTGGAGAAAACAGGAAATTGGACGTTAGAATTTGGGAATGCAACCAATCAGCCGATTAATACATCTTTGCCTTATGCTTATGCATGAAACTGTTCCTCAGCTCCTCTTTTACCTTTTTGACTAAGAGAGACGTACAATCAAGAGACTGTCTTAGAACCTCCGAGTACCATGAACGTGACTCACTTCTTTGAAGAGTCCCTGACCATCTCTCAGTTACGGTTAGCTCAGCCTCGCTCTTGGGAGCTGAGATTTCTTTAATTTGAAGAAATAATCGACACACCAAGCTGAAAACGAATGTTTTCGTCGAAGCTGACGATCTGCGCAATTTTGCCTTCATTACTCTGTGCCAGTGTCGGCCTCCTAATCAGCATGTCATACACGCGACTTCTACCAAACAACCTGTGATACAGTAAGTGATTATATGTAAATGTCTTGCACTTATTAATTGATAAATGACACGATCAGACGGGGAAAAAAACAGACTAAACCTGGAACCACATTATTCCAAAGAAATCTCACCCCCCATACCCCCCCCCCCCAAACCCACAACTGAGGATTCTTGAAGAATTATCAAGTCCCATCTTTGCTGACAGCAGTATTTTTCTAATGCACTATTACTGTTCAAGGTTGTCATGGCAGCAATACAGCCGTCTCTCTTGCTGACAGAGTTGTTTGCCAGTGTCAATAACTCAGCACCTTAAGCATGATGACATCCTGGTCAGGAATCTGACAGCTGGACCCCTCGAACTGGGTGAATTATCCTATCTCTCGCAGTACTTTCTCACTTGGTGACACTTCGCTTGACGGGGCACAAATACTTAGCGATAACTGCTATTGAAGTACGAATCATAGACAGATATGGTCGCTACTTGAGATAAAAGATGTCATGATTCATTAATGATGAACAAACATAAGGTCAATATTACACTTGTGTTATTCATGATTTGTTCCTTCAGTAGTTCCTTCAGGTGCTCTCAGTGGTTTACAGAATCAACGGATATAGTGACAAATATAGTAACTGCTTGGGATAAAAAGTTGCATCATAATTCATGAATGATGAACAAATATGAGGTCAGTATTTCATGTTATTCATGACTTGTTCCTTCAGTTGTTCCTTCAGTAGTTCACAAAGGTTTATAGAATTTACAGATATAGTAACAAACATAGCAGCTGCTTGGAATAAAACATGTGCCACAATTCAATGATGAATTAATATGACATCAATATGTGACTAAGACTTAGTTTGTGGTTAATTAATACATAATTAATAGCATAATACTTTATTATTTGTGCCATGTTAAGTGTTATTGTTGCTTCACTAATTTACACTCCTGGGTTTGGATTTTTTGCACAATTCACTTTTTTGGCAGTGATGCACATCAAGATCATTTTAGATGCCGATGGTGAATTGCCTTCAGATTTTATGCTGCTTTCTGTATAAGCCTAGTGCTTTATCCATCTTCCAGTTGCTTATCCAGTACGCTAGTCCATCACACCTTACTGGAAATGTACAGACAGAAGCTTTGAACAACAAGATAAATCCTAAATAACTGGTACGAACTCCACACAGATGGGGGATTCAAACCCATAACCTCAACGGTGCGAGTCAGCGACACTTTCCGCTGAGCCACCATAATACCCTGCACCAGGTCATCAT